ATCCATTGGGCTATGTCGGTCACTCTGGTTCTACTGCGGATATCCTCATTTCTAAGTTTATCACGCAGAGAAACTCCGAGCATAGCCTTCTCCATAGCCCGCTGAGCGACCTTGAGCTTCCTCATACGGCCAGCAGTGAAGGACCACATCTCAGATCCGTAAGTCATCACTGGCAACACGCACTGGTTGTATAATTTTGTTTTAAGGTTTTGAGGAATGTCTGACTGCATTTGTTTGTTACGCTTGGTATATTTCGTAAAATTGTGTACCGCCAATTATTGGAGGCCATAGAATCCCTTTAGTTGCTTCTTACGAAATCCACGATACGAAATAGTATAATTGTAGGGGCGTAAGAGAAAAAGGACAGCAGTAGTGTGATTGATATTGGTCATCGATGTGGAAGACTTATCTAGATAAAAAGATGTTAAAAATTTAATGACGTGTAGTAACTATTGTTCAAACTAGGTAACACGCATCATTTTATTTTATTACGCTGCTCTTATATAGTTAATTGTTTTTTTACGTCTTTAATATGATGGATTTCCGCGAAGAAACGCCTGGTTATATTAATTATATTATTTAGATAATTAAATTATTTTGCGAATTCGCGGTCTTTCCTGGTTTTTATTATTAATAGTTAATTATGTTTTTATCCATCTTTAGTTTCTGTCGTTATTTTAGCTTATAAATAATATATTATTTCTAACAATAAAAAAAAAGTAATCTGACTAAGCAGTAGTGAGACTGGTGTTCAATAACTTTCACTATTGGAGGAGGGGGCAGTAATCGCAGTACTTTTTATAGACACGGCTTCGAAATGCGATGAATCCATTTTACTTTTATCATTGCGTTTTAGTTTTACGATCGTTTGTAGTCTGGTGTCTTATTGACAAACTGCGAAGTGAAACGCTAGCGAGCGCACTTCCACAACAATGGCGTATAATTTGCATCGATAGTATGAAGGAAACTCATAACCCAGTCTTCTCGGTTCTAGAATAGTGAACGTTGTTTCGACCACCGTTTAGGTTTTTATGCAAACAGGAATAACCTTTGCAATTTTTTTTCCAGATTTGATAAATTTCTTGTTAGTTGGTTTTTTATACGGAAGTTATTAGGCGACCACTCATTTACTTGTCGTGTATTTTTATCTGTTCCCTGATAATTTCTAAATATCTTTGGGCATTTTTTTTTTACTCTAAATAAGACCGCAAAAATTTTATGTCGATTGGCTGTTGTTCGTTGTCTTGGATTAAGAGAATTTTAATTAACAATAGTTTTAATCTAGGCCAGAAAACAACATACTGAATACCGATACAGCTTATCAAAGCCCACCTGAACATAGGTCTCCTCCATATATTGCCTTTTATATAGAATAAGGGTGACAAATGAGCTCACAGTTCACCTGATGGCAAGTGGATGTTGTGGTCCATTGACATCTTCAATTCCTCTTAAATAAGGATCACAATGCATCATTGCTACCCCTGAGGGCTGAGATGGAATGCTTTGTTTCCAATAAAAAAGGGTCTCCGGTTTTCTACACTCTGACCTGGCTAATTATGACATCAGGGCGACAAAAACCTCAGACCCCCGTGACCATGGGTAAACGCATCCGAAACGTCGGGAATTAAAAATCTGTAAAATTTGTTTCATTTAATGTGTAGTACTTGCGTAAATATAAGAAATCCTTATGCGGCGGTTTCTCATTCACAATTACTGTTACACGTGTTATCCTAATCCTTTGCTGAGCCTATAGGTACTAACAATCCTAATATATATCCTATATCTATTTAACCCGACGTAACTACCAATTTTTAAGTTTTTATCACATAACGATAAAGAAGCCTTTTAAATTGGCATTTAGATTTTTTGAACGTATACCCGGTGGTATATAACACTAAGTTTATCGGTATAAACTTAGTGTTTTATCCAAACAATCGATATAACTAAACGAATCAAATACCTGGATATGTTGGGTTGATTGCATGACATGCCGGGCGTAACAAAAGGTACATACATACGTAATTACATGCGCGTTGTCGTGTAGCGCTGAGTCAGCGGGGCGGACAGTGCGGGTGGCGCGGGCACGTGCGCACTGTGCTGCGATGATTGATGATATGCAGATGTCCACCGATAACCGTGCTCATAAATATTAACTACGATGACGGCCAAACGGAGTTTTAGTTGTTTCTGTCAATACTCAGTAGCAGCCCGGAGTTAAGAAGTTTGTGGTGGTTCACTTAAGAAAGCACGCCGTTAAAGCAAGACGTTATCCTGTGCCTGATACCTCTTCGGTCGTGTCAGATTGCTGTTCCATCGGACTATGTGAGCGAGGGCATAGACGCTGCACCTGTGCTTGAGCACACTCTCGTGCATTAGAATCGTGTTGTGTGCAGAAGGTTAGTCTATCGTTGAGACTAGCCGCCGGGACCTGCTGCCGCATTGTGTTATAAGACACACTCACACTCTGTGGTGCAGTAACCCCGAACAGGGTCTTGGCCTCCGATACGAGAACACGCTACTTTTCGCTGTCCAGCGCAAGCTCTCGCCCGGTCGCTTCAACGATATTTGAGTAGACCAACCGGACGTCGGCAAGTCGGTCCTACTGACGCTCTATTGTTAGAACATTATTCGCTTCTTGAGTTTTCAGTAGAAAAGACAGACTGTTTACACGCGGAGACGCTGATTAATATACCGAACTTTATGTAATTTACGAGTACATCGATTCAGTCGCTCTTGGCCTTAGTGGAAAGCGTTTGGCGGGGCGTGTTGCGTTTCTTTTTCATAGAAGTAAGTGATCATAAAAATAGCGGCTAGGATCTAGAGTCCATGAAATTAAACTCTAAACCAGAATCATTTATTTCGTAGATCATAGGAATTATATAGATGCTAGCTACATATGTATATAATTAAATTCAACCCTGTTCCCTGCGGGCATACGAAGTATAATATTTTTTGCAAACCAGTTAAACTTAGACAAACTATTAAATGATAGTAATATAAGGAGTCAACAGTCCAAAAGCAACGTATCTAGTTTGTAGTTACTGTTAGTGCTGTTAAGCCGTTTGACTTTTACAGCTTCATCGGACTCAGGGCTTGCGGTTGCAGCCCGAGAGGAAGCATTGTACATTATGTAATAAACCTTATGTACAACTTAAAACAAATCTCTACAACGTGATACAAATAACACAAACTTTGGACGCAACGACATCTAGTAAATAAAAAGTAAACTAAATATTGTGAACAAAGTTACGCGTACTTAGTAGTAGAAGGTTACATAAGCAAATACACTGACATATGCGGGAAACAAAATTGCTTGAATATGTTTTTTAACCGACTTCAAAAAAGAAGGAGGTTCTCAATTCGACTGTATTGTTATGTGTGTTACCTCAGAACGTTTTCTAGGTGACACAATTTTGATGATTCTTTAATTGGAATGTCGGTGCTTCTCATGTGGTCCAATATAAATTAGTTTTTGAGTTATCCTTAATAATGCGTATTTACTGGGCTTCGACTACATTGATGACGTTCTCATTTTATTTATATTGAAGTCGGTTGTACAAAGTTTTAAATTTTACCCCTTTGTCCATTTAATAATAAAAAATTATATGAACCAACAATACAACGGAGTCATCTCAAAAACTGTTTCGAGTTGAAATATTCATGCTTTAAAAGATTCATGAATTCCCAAGCTCAGAGTACCTGACTAATGATGCATGTTGCGAGCCGTGAGTTCCAATTGCAGCTAAGGTTCACATTTCTTAACTTAAACACATTATTTTGTTAGGTTTTGAACGTGGTAGAGGCACGCTGCAGCTAGTCGTGGTAGTAGCACGAATGGGTCGGCTCGACCGACCTAGGACCACGCACTCATAAAATAATGCGTCGTATCGTATGGTGCGTGTCTAACACCCGGATACCCGGGGTCGCTTTTCACTGGAAACGAGGTATTCCATCTTAGTCCTCGGGACTGACAACCCATCTGGATTTTGATTCTTTATCGGAGTAAATGCAGGTATATGTCTATGGGTCACAGTATTTACCATCAGGTGAACTGTGAACTACTTATTTGTCACCCTTAATCTATTAAAAAAGTTCTGGTTGGATCGTCCCCGTGTCTGACACCACTTCCTAGTCTATTTGCCATTGAAAAGTGTTACTTTCTGACACAAAAAGGCTGTCTCTATCACTATCACTTACTCGTTAGTAAACGACATGTAATGGACATGAAACAAGTTTGAAAGGATGGCCGTGAAAATGCCGTGAAAGAAAAATTGTGGAGTAAAATAAAAAAAGAAAATTATCTTAGATTTTAGTTCTTCGAATTTTTATAGGAATTGTAAAAACTACCAGCTATTGGTGTAATAAGTTCATAACTTCACCGTGTTTATTAGATCGCTGCTTGATTGGACACGCGCTGGTTATCTAAATATCACGACGCGGCTTACAAGGTCTTGTCCTAGCCAGGTTCGGTTTTATTCGAAAAAAGTTTAATAATATATAAATTAAAGTAATTGGCTAAATCATAAAAATTGTACGTATACTGCAAAATCCCGGAGCATAATTGTCTGCGATCATATTCTAGACGGCGCCCACCACATCACATTTGATAGACCTTAAATCCACGCTAAAGAATATCGATTCCTGCCAACAATGATACGTGAAGTTAGAAATTTAATAAACATCCTCATTCCAATATACCTAGAGGTAGTGTTTGCGTAAATATAAGATATTAAATGCGTTACACTCAACGAATCGTACGTAGTAGGAGTTATATTCAGTTCAGTGACACATTTTAACTGTTTTTAAATTTATTAATATGAAATGCATCTATTACAAGGTGTCTGTACGTAGCGTTACGTCCAAACACCGGCCCGACACAATAAACAATATCTAATTAATTCCGACCATGCGCCAGTAGCACACGCAGCGGTGATCGTGGAAACATGCGACAGACGAACTTATTCGATCAGTGATACGAAACGAACATGATATAGAACAAGATGATGAAGTTCAAATCGTTGTTCCGTAGAGGACAACAGGGCAAGCAGGAGCCCACGCTGAAGGGTGCTCCGTCCGTCTCGAGTCTCGACTCGAAGCACAAAGTTGCGCCGTCGAGAGACAAGACGTTAAAAATATTCGGCTCCAAAGAGAAGCTCCACAAGGCGCACAAGAAGAAAGACTTGGGGAACAACAATGCTGTGTTAGAAGACCCAGAGTTGAGAGAGGTGCTAGAATACGAAGATGGGGAGGTGAGGGAGTACGGGAGCGCCGAGGAGCTGGGCTCGGTGGGCGAGCGCGGCTCCCAGGAGTGCGTGAGTTTGCCGGTGATGCTGAACGCCGACCACATGCCGGGCTTCCAGGAGGTTGAGCTTAGGCCTAGAATACCATCTGAGGTGAGTTGATAAATTCTATAAACATTTTAATAGTAACTAATATAAGGTAGAATCACGCAGTGGCGTATTATGGCTGCTGAATGAATGGGTCGGTTCGACCGGGAGTATCACGCTTGTAAAATCCGGCTTGAAATAGCAGCATAATGCTGTATTTGTATGGTATGTATGCATGTACGAATACCATTTATAGTGGTAACTTGGATCTCTGCAGTGACAAGGCAAGATTTTGATTGTTAATCGAGGATAGATGTTGGTACGTATATGGTGTAGCACACATTTACCATCTCAGAACAAAGAAAACAAGAGTCTTCATTAGCTCGTAAAAATTCACTGCTGTACGCACACATACGAGTATGCAACTAAAACCAAGTTATTGGTTTCAAATGATTTTAGATGTGTGTACGTGCGTGTGAGTGCGTGTTCTTACAATAAGTTGAGCTTAGTTTTGGCTTGGTGTTTGGCGTCACTCGACAATATACACGCAGCGTTTCATCTTTCTTTCTTTGTTGGTCTAAACTTACCATCAGGTGTGCTGCTCGTTTGTCACCCTTAATCCTTGAAAGAAAAGTATAAGGGGAATATACAAGTCTTATCTCTATGTGTCAATCTAACCTGCCCGCGATGCACATTGCTGACTGAGGCAACGAGAGACGTGTCTTGTTAGATGACTTTCATGAGACATTTTGTAGGTTGAATAAAACTAATTTTACGGAGTGCCAATAGTTCATTTCGCTTTCCAAATGGTATGTTTGTTCTATTCTCTTTATTAATAGTGACTTGTTTGTACAATAATATTTCCGTAATATAGTTTAGCCTTTTGTCGTAAATCAGGCGTCGAGCCAGGCGCTGCACATGCTCTGTAGTATTCCACCGCCGGGTAGGGGCGGGGGTCGCTAGTTGCTATGTAATGGCGCGTCTCCACCAAAGTTTTGTTGTCAACACAACATTTGCCAACACGTTTTGTCAACAAATGTTTCTGTCAACAAGCGTCTCCACCGAGGGAACAAATGTTGGCAACAAGCGTATTCCTTTGATGTTGCCGCCGAAAATCGAAACAAGTTTTGTTGAGTTGACAACAAAACTTTGGTGGAGACGCGGCTTAATATTATAATATTGCAGGTGTCAATGAGAGACGTTTCTGGTTGGGTAACTTTTATTACACTACTAACTACCCGCACCGGTTTTGCCTAGACACTATAATGTTGCGATAATGTTTAGCTTCAGGATAATAATACAAAATTCTTTTATCAATTTTTCGTTTTTCTTTCATTAAAAAATAACTATGTTTTCTGGTAAAATATATGACCTAGATCCCTCCTGGCATTGCTTTATATCTGTATGTTAAACATCACTATCGGTTCCGCCATTGCGAAGGTTAGCCTGGACACACAGACAGACAAACAGACAAACATTTTAAAAATTATTGTTAAATGGCGTAATGACAAAGAGAAAGAGAAGATTTTACACTAGTATAGTTTGCACTAACCAGAAAATTATTACACCCAGTGCGTTCAGAGATGGAGTATAAAAAAGTTCACAGCGTAACCGCAAATCTGTTTCCATCCCTACTCGGACGGCGGTTCGATAACTCATTTGTATATTGATTTGCATGTAGGTGAACATCGTAAAGGAAAACTAACGTTCGGACATAATCTGCATCCTCATCATCATCAGCTCCCCAGACCGAGCGCCCAAAGGTCTAGACTATGTTTTATCCGAAAAATTTGAAGACGTTATTGAAAATGAAAAGAAAAATTGATACTTAAATAAATGGTTTTTGATTATCTTAAACTAAATATCGCTACATTAAAAAATATTATAAATATGTTATTAGAAAATAAATATCGTGCAAGTAACTTCTTTTTAGTTTAACAGTGGTAGAGCCAGGCGGCAGATTTTGCTGTCGCACGGATGGGCCGGCTCAAACCGGAGTGGTACCACGACCTCACAGAATACCAGCGTGAAGTAGAGGTTTACTTCTGCGTTTCGCTTGGTGAGTGCAGGTGACCGGAGGCCCTTTTTACTGGAAATGAGGCATTCCATCTTAGTCCTCACGGGTGACAACGCATCTGCATTTTGATTCACAAACGAGGATAGTTGTAGATGTCTATGGGCCGCAGCAACCACTTACCAACAGGTGGACTGTGTGCTCCTTTGTCACCCTTACCCTATAAAAAAAAAACTTCGTAAACTTTTCGCGAGTAAATATAAGGTCGAGGAAACAATTTCTTCGTATTTTATATACAAATTCAAGACATATTTTTTTAAAGTTTAAGTACATCTAATTATAATATATATGTGTTCGATAACTTGTTACCATCTTGTAGGTAGTAACCACTGACCATAGAGTAATTAGACTTAGGGTGATAGTGTCATTCAAAATTCCGTTCAAAATTGAAGCAACACCATAATGAATGTGTGCATAAGCGGCCTATAATTACGTTTGCCCACACGCAAACAAGCAAATGAGTAATATTTGCAAGTAAATGACATTTTCCCCAAAAAGTGGGGAAAGTGTAATAGTAGACATAGTCATAGAATTAATATTTAGGTTGCGTTTAGAATTATTTATTAATTATTTGCAGAGAATAATGGAACATTATTTATTTTTGTTAACTAATGTAATATTTAAATTATTTATATACTTAATATCTTGTGTTGTAATATATATTCACAAATCTCTTATGTAATTATATTATTCTGTTAGAAGTGGTATATTTATATGAATATCAGTTATTTATTACATTATTAGTACATTAGCTAATATATATTTAACTTTACAATGTTCATGTGAATATTCATATTATTTGTAATTATTATTCTATATAAAATAGAATAGAATATTTTTTATTTAATATTAATTACTACATAATACTTATTGAAAGTCATTTTTTATTTACCACTGGTTCGGAAAATACTTCTGTCCAGGGAAGAAGCAAGAAACCCAACGGGACTTTTTTTTCAAACATATTTCACTTAACAATAATTTCTTTTATACAATTTTTAAATGATTTTTCATAGAACCAGCATGGTGGCGATTACCCTATTCCCAGTGGTTATTTTCATTCATGTATTCCTTGATATTATAATAACCCTTTTTGTACAGTTTTTCTTTAATAAAACTTTTAAACTTGTTTATTGACAAACTTTGAACATGTTCTGGGATTTTGTTGTAAAAGCGTATACATTGCCCCATAAATGAATTACTGATTCTGTGGAATCTAGTAACTGGCATTACAAGCTTATGTTTGTTCAAGTTCATTTCTTGCAGTTTTTTCCAATCCAGCACCACTTACAATTAACAAGTGAATAGTTGTCATGTCATCATTTAAAATGTCAAATATTTTTATCATTAGTTATTCATATTACTAGCTGTGGCTGTGACCCGCGGCTTCACCTGCGTTAATCAGGATAAAAGCATACACTGATGTCGATTCTTACCATTCTAAGGATCTACATGCTATATTTAATTTAATTCGGTTTCGACGTAAAGGTTATAACATACAACTTTCACAGAACAGATATTTTAGAAGGAATTAAGAGTGCGTTCAGCTTCAAGTGAATATTATTATTACTTTATTGGATATTACGTTTTGTATTAAAACGAAATAAGATTCGGAAGGAGAAAAACATGAAATTAAAAATATTTATTAAATAATATAAATTAAAATATACACAAGTACTTAAAGTAAACATCTCTTACTTAATGGCCATGAAACTGCAACTGTTTTCTAAACAACTGCCGCATTGATGACACTATCCGCGAAATATTATCTTTTTTGGATTCATAAAAATCTAACTCTTAGATAACGTTCCACAATAAGCCGTGCCAGATTTGTGTCGTGATTTTGTGAATTGATGTGCTCTTCTACTACAGGAAATAGAGAACGACCAATGAGTTTGGCCATAATTTTGATAGATAGCTCTTTTACTACGAATTGGGACTATTGGCAATATGTAAGCATTTTTTCTTATAATTATAATAATAAGAAAAAATGGGGTAAAATATTTTACTATGCCTAGCAACATTTTCATTATATTAGCGTCTGTCAAATTTACGATTTATTATTTTGTTTTGATGAATGTTTTTTACAAAATATAAGATGCTAAGCACACACCAAGCGACCACAGCTAGCTGTATCTTTAACATCAAAATTCCCGGACTGAAAACGCTTGAACCAACTTTGTGCTACTCTTTACTGACACTGAAATAGGTCCATAAACGTCACAATTGTTTTTTCGACTTTTTTTTAATATATAAAACTTTTATTAAAACCAGCCAGATACAAACTACTTTTTTTCTTCTACTTTATACAAACAAAATACGTAGAAACTTTTCCCACCTATCATGTAGACGTGTTCAAATTAAAAGTAGAGAGTGGTATGTTTGCAGGCGTCCCTGGGCAGCGGCGTGCGGGAGACGGAGGTGCTGCGGCGGGAGCTGGAGGCCTGCAATGCGGAGCGCGCGCAGCTGCAGGCGCGTCTGGACCAGCTGGAGCAGCGCGCCGCGGAGGCTGATGCTCTGCGCGCAGAGCTGCACCGCCTCAAGGTACCCACACAACTACACTCGCTCCTTTGCCTTTGATGTCCCTTATTCAAATTGCCAGGTTGCTGATTTTTTTTGGGAGCTGGACTACTTTTCACTTCGTATATAAGTCTGTGGAGTCCTAATAACAAGAAATTCCGACACCAACGTTTTGTGCAACGACAGAAATTGTGTAGAAATATGAACAGTGCTCCTGACAGATGTAAATGAAACTATGTTTTGTAATAAACTGTACACAGTTTCTCAATTATTATGATACGAATTACGTTTCCTTTTACTTTAGTACGTGAGGGTAATATGGTCATCCGATAATTTTTTTTTTTATAGGAGAGGGCGCAAACGAGCATGCGGCTCACCTGATGGTAAGTGACTACCGCCGCCCATGAACAACTGCAACACCAGGGGAATCGCAGATGCGTTGCCGGCCTTTTAAAAAGGAGTACGCTCTTTTCTTGAAGGTCCCTAAGTCGTATCGGTCAATGGTAATATAGTCACTTTATGATAACTCAAAACCTACAGCCTTATTTGCATAGGTGGCTTTGTGATACGATAGCTCTTCACCAGTCAATCAAATAATAAAGGGTCAAAAGTATCAAAAGGGCGCCGCTTTATCAATGCCATTTTGACAGTTGATATTATAGTAAATATTTTAGTCAATTTTAGTATTGGGTAGTGTAGTTAATTTTTTTTAGTTCATTTTTCGAAGTGTTCCTCATTATTGTGAAGGATTATTTGCTCTTTTTAGGGTTCCGTACCTCAAAAGAAAAAAACGGAACTCTTATAGGATCACTTTGTTGTCCGTCTGTCTGTCTGTCTGTCAAGACCCTTTTTCTCAGGAACGCGTGGAGGTATCAAGCTGAAATTCATATCAAATACTCAAGTCTACTGTCCCTTGGAGCTGTGAAAAAATCAAACTTCTAAGCCAACGCAATCAAAAGATACAGCCGTTTATGCTGCAAATATTTTGCCGCAAGGGAATCAAAACCTACAGGGTACTTCCCGTGAACTCAGAATTTTAAAATTTGGTACGTAGCAACGTATTATAGCACAGATAAAGGAAAAATTGCGAAACGTATAAATTTTTAGTTACGTCATATAATAAAAATATTTTTAATAATTTTAAACTTATGTACCTACGGATTTGTTCGGAAACCTCGGTGCGCGAGTCCGACTCGCACTTGGCCGGTTTTTTTCTTTATATATTAGTTGTAGTATACGACATTGTGTATTTGTCTCTGTCCTCCTCCTAGTTTTGGTTTTATAGGGCCGTAAAGCTTAAGGTGACCATATCACTCTCGCGTACCTTACTTGATTTTGTGACGACTTAATTTGAAAATGTTTTACAGCGCGTATTCTTTGAAGAATTAAGTGAAGTAAACTAAAGTTTTTCGTATTTTCAGATAAGATATGACAAGAAGTAATTAATATTTATATTCCAGGTTTTCCATTCTGGGCTAAGATTACACTTACAAAACTTTGGTCCCAAAGAAAAATATAAAAATATTGGAATTATAAGAATATCCACTACGATAGTGGATATTCTTATAAGGCCACTACAAGACTAAGCTCCTCACGGGTCGATTCCACGACTTTTTGGAGGTGGGGCAAGGGCCGAAGTGTCGAAGTGTCGAGGTGACGCAGTGTGTCGGACGTTGCAGGCGGCGGAGGCCGAGCGGGAGGCCGGCATGGAGCGGCTGGCGGACGAGAACGGGGCGCTGCGGGCGCGGCTGCGCGGCGTGGCGCACTCGCCGCTGTCGGACAGCGAGAAGCGCCAGCTGCTGCTGGCGCCCGCGCCGCGCCGCATGCACTCCTCGGCGCCCGCCTCCATCGCGCTGGCGCACAACGTACGTGCCTGCAGCCTGCAGCCTGCAGCCCTGCAGCGCTGCAGCGAGAAGCTTTTTTGAATTCAAATACTACCTGGAATCAATTCAGCTCGACCGGGGTAGGACTACGTATCACAGAATACCGGCGTAAAATAGCAGGTTAATACTGCTGTGTTTCGTGTGACGAGTGTATACAACCGGATATCCTTTCTAGGCATTCCGTCTTAGCCCTCAGGGGTAACAACGCATCTGAAATTTCTTTCTTAATGGAGGATAGATGTGAATGTCTATGGGCCTGCATGCTAAAAAAAACTACTTTTGTGTATTTAAATAGAGAAATATTCAGTGCGCCTATTTTTCTTTGTTCACTTCAATGGTATGGGGCATGCGTTTGCAGGGGGAGGGAGACAGCGGGGAGGCGAGCACGCCGGAATGGGACAAGCACTCGTCGTCGTCGCTAAGCGAGGTGTCGGTGGCCTGCCTGCAGGACCGGATCCTGCAGATGGAGGAACACCACTACAGGTCAATATGCTGTCCTTTTGTACTTGACTTATGCCATTAATACCTGGCCTTGAACGTGATGAACGTTCGTGTAGACTCTACAAGAACGTTCGTCACATTCAAGGACTACTTACTCTGTTTAGACTCTACACTGTGTAGAGCATTATAAAGATCCGGTCACCGAATCTTAAAAATATCACGTGAATTTTGTTGAATACTTCGCTACGAAATTTTCTATCAAATCTTAAGTTTACAAGAATTTCTGAGTGCCAGTGTACATCAATGCCTTGAACATTATAAAGAAGCTCAGAGTAAATGATCTTCAAAGATTCAGAATAAATGAACTTCTTATGATATACAGTAAGGAATCCACATATATGCAATAAATAACACCACAAGTAATAATAGTCCATAGAAGTGTAGAAAAATTAAATATTAAATTAAAACCCGTAAATTTAAAAAGTGTAACTTTCAAACAAAATTAATATTAAAATAAATTCAGTAAAAGACACTCTGTTTAGACGACCTACCTTGACCCCTTGGAAGGCAACGTTGCACGCGGGTGGCATAGCGGGTGGCATAGCGGTTGGCGTCCGGCAGCGTTATTGTGGGCACAGCCTTTGGTTCGTTTGACAATGTGCGACGAAATAAAAACTTACTAAACTGTTTAGGTGTTTTCACCGCCACTTTTTTTATTTCGCGATAGTGAAACTGAACGAAACAAATATTATTGCATATTGGTTGCAAAATTTAATTGAATTCTAAATTTTAAAATTTTCAAAATGTACGCCATGGTTTTGAATGCACAAGTTACATCGCCGCATAGTGTTGTCAAAAAATAATAAAAATAAACGTATTTAAAAACACTATTTACACACACAAAGTCAATTAACTAATAAAACGTAAAAACATTGTTTGAATAATTTTATTTATCTTAAGCCGATATTACACGGATCAATTTCGGTTCAATACTGCTTTCAATTTTATTGTTTCAATGGCATTGATACATCTAAATACATTTCAATGCGATCGTACAATCTCATTGAAAGCTTAGATTCAACGAAAGCTTTCAATGCAATGGTAGCAATATTGGTCATTGTTCAATGCGGTTGAAACGTGTATACATGAAGATTGAACGATGACTCATTCCACGCACCGCACGACACCTATTTCGCGTGCGCACATGGATTTTGTGGCATGAAAATGGGTTTTAAGTTCATTATATTGACACTGTCATTCGCAAATGGTTCAAATAAAAATTTGGATCTTCTGCCATTTCTACTAATAAGATGCTTGAGGCTCCTTTAGTTATCATTCTCGAAATCCACGGGCACACCCACCAACGCCGAGATTTTATTTTTTTTGGAACGAAGTTCCTTATCGGACGGTATGGGTTTGGCGGATGGGAGCTAGGCGACAAACAAAACATGTAAGATATTTTCGTCACTACCCCTTGTGTCAGTGTGCAAATTTTTTTTATTTGTATTATTATTGTATTTGTTAATCTATACATCTATACAAATAAATAAAATTGAAGTGTCTGTTTGTAATGTCAAAATTACAGTTTTTTACTAAATGCATATGAAAGTAAATACGATACCTATAACCAAAATACAATTTTTAAAATTTTTGTCTGTCTGTCTGTCTGTCTGTCTGTCTGTCTGTTTGTTCCGGGTAATCTCCGAAACGGCTGGACCGATTTTGACGGGACTTTCACTGGCAGATAGCTGATTTCATAAGGAGTAAAATAGGCTACTTTTATTTTAAAAAAATAATCAGGGTTCCGCGCAGAAACATAAAAACACTAACACGCGAACGAAGTCGCGGGGAACAGCTAGTCAATAATATAATACGTTTATCAATAATAATATACTACTAAAGGAACTTTATTTTTTATTTTAAATGACGCTTCATTTTAATAGACACTAGTAATTAATTTACTGTATTTATTTTGTTAATCAATAATATAATACGTTTCTTATTAATAATATACTACGAAAGGAACTTCGTTCTAACCGAGTGTTCCACGACATTCACGCATGTTTTTTTATTATTTAACTCATTTATTAAATAGTCGCTGATTAACGAAATTTTCGCACTTACGAGTTGGCGCGACATCTTATTGCGCTGTGAACATTGAATGTCATTTAAATTATTTACGTGTATATTGGTAAAGCCGTTGAATGTGCAACGTTCAATGCTTTTCAATGGAATTGTTTCAATTTGGTTGATCCGTGTAATATCGGCTTTACGAAAAATAAATCACTTGAAGCAATGCGCGTAAGCAGCGAAACGCACCCGTATCCTGGAAGATTGGCGGCGTAGAACTGAAAGCGAAACTTCCCAATTCCAAAATGGCGAAAATAATAAAAATAATAAATAGGGCGGGCACAAGGTGCAATTATCGTTTACCGACACTTCTTTTTATACTTACGTACCTACTACAAGACATTTTTTTGAAGAACGCCGCGTGCCTCGTTCCACTTGTTTGTGGACGCCGCCAAAAGGCACCGCTGTCGACGTACATAGTCTCACGTCGTAATAGTTTGCACTGCATGGCAACGTCGCTTTTAATGTTCAAAGATTCCAGTTCATTGAATCATTGACTTAGTGACCAAATTCTATAGAGAGTTCAAATTTGCTTAATATTAAAACTCTATTTTTTGACCTAATTACTGGACCGATTAAGTTTATTTTTTGTATATCGTCAGCAAAGGCGATAGCAAGTTATAGTTATATGGTTTCATTTATTGTCTATATGTGGGACCCATTCTGTAGAAGGGTCACTCTAGTAATCGACTCTAGTAGTCTAGTACATGGTTGATAATAACCCCTGGGAATGAGGTGATCGCTTCCAAGCAGTTTCTAAAATAAATTTTGTAAATAGTTCGTAATCATTTATATTGTAAAATTTATTTTAAAAAAAAGTCCCGCTGGGTTTCTTGCTGGTTCTTCCCAGGACAGAGGGTTTTTTCGAACCAGTGGTAAAGTAAAAAATGACTTTCAATAAGAATTACACGTGTAATGTATATTGAATAAAAAATATTCTATTCTATTCTATTCTATTCTAACGTGCCCTTTAACCTTAACGTTGTATTATTTTGGTAGCTGTAACTTAATATTAAACTAAAGCTGTAGTATAGATCATATTTATATTATTATTATGATGTATTAAATGCACTACCTAAGATATTTACATTCTTCAAAAGTTAAAAAGTTCATTATAATATTTACTTGCTCGCTTGTTCTTATTACTTATGTTTAATTTATTTAATTTTGGTATTGTGGAGGCGTATCGCGAAGCGAACATTCTTCTACCTCAGTATTTTTTATGGATCACGCACACCTGATTCTGTTAGACGGAGGTACGAATTTATCATTATATGGCCATTATAATATATTCACGGGTCCATAAAATTATCAAATAAATGTTTGCTTTATTTCTTGCATCAGTGATGATTTCGTACATAACATTTTTGTGTTTAATTTCAAAACATCGTGAAAACTCATAACGCCTTTCACATTTTAGTTCATTTATCATTATTGTCATCGAAACCTTGTTTAGTTTTATTCTTAAAAACTAACAATAAACCGTAAAATTAATTTGTTTTATATATAAAGTAATAAGAAGTAGTTAGTTATATCGATTTTAGAATAGCTTTTGACTAAAAAGTAGTTAAAATTAGTATGGTTTCAATTTTATTCTTAAGTATTTTGACTAATATCACTAAGAAACCTGGCAGAATATTCTATTAAAAAAATAACAGTTTAGTCCTATGTACTGTACATATTCTTTTAAATATCTAGGGAATGTCCGTTAAAAGGGGAATGCCTAAAGGATCAATTTTATCCCCTTTACTTTTCCAATTTTTCGTGAGTTGTAATTCTAGAGATTTAAAAAATTTTCTGTAAGAAGCGGTATGTTAAAATGCCGATAATCGTATAATAGGCTTTGTTAGAAAAGTAACTTTACGATTTGTTGGTTTTGGTATGCAATAATTAACTGACGTAGAACTGACAACAGATGGAGAAGAAAGGTTCTCGAGTGATAGCCTGTTACCGGTGAGCGAAATAAAGGGCGGTGCTCTACTAGATAGAGTGATCTTGGTCTACAAGTCCCGTCTCCATTCCATCTGGGGCTTTTGCGACAGCCACCGGTCGAACATACGCCTCTCCAATCATCCAAACTCCAAACGGTTTATGGAGGTGTATGTTCGACGGTATCTGTTGAGACGTGTAGTGTGCGTGTGCGTGTGCTGCAAGTGCGAGTGAGACGGCACGTGTGGTGTGCGTGTGTGCGTGCGTGTCTCTTGCGACAGCTAGTGTGCGTGTGTGCAGCACGAGCGAGGAGCTGCAGGCCACGCTGGCGGAGCTGGCCGACCTGCAGGCGCAGCTGGCCGACGCGCACGCGGACAACGAGCGCCTGGCGGACGAGAAGCAGGTGCTGCTGGAGTCGCTCTGTAGGCAGACGGAGAAGCTCGAGGACAGCCGCACAAAGGTATACCTATATCCTTCACACTGGTTTACTCTAATCTGCTATGGCACTAAATTATCTATCTAACTAATCTATCCATGTATCATAGCCTATAAAAGTCCACTTTTATTGCCGATTTTGCCGTAGTTGCCATGCTTGGCAGGTGGATTGGCAACCGCAGTTTTTTTATCTAAATAACACTCACTCTAAAACTATACGCCCGATTCACTTGTACGTTTAATCCTTTTACGACGTAGACATCCACTAAGGAAGCATTTTGTAAAAAAACCCATGGTAGGATGAAATAAGCTGTTCCAACTTGTCAACTATATAATACGCACGCTATGAACTATATATAATGTAAACTAAAGTAGTAAAGTAGTCAATGCCTACACTTGTAATATAATTTGTTTTATTTCACTGTATATAAAAATAAATTTTCCTCACACATGTGTACGTACACACGTGTATATGGGTGTGTGTGCGCATGTGTGTAGATGAGGGTTGGGTTGTTTGCGTGCAGGTGGACACGCTGCAGGAGCTGCTGCTGCGCGAAGGGGTGGAGCCCGAGGCGCTGGCGGCAGGAGACCAGCACCAGCACCTCTTCGCAGTGCTCAAGGTGCGTCGCTACCCACCCTCACTCACCCACTCATATACTCACTAAATACTCACTCACCTAATACCCACTCACATACGCAACCGCGAGTTTTAGTGTCCAGAGAACCTAAATACTTATCTGCCGCTCCTAGGAATACCAGCAGGAGTCAACGTTTATGCAAAACACAGACTACTGGTTTTCAGGTCTACATAAACTGTTTGACACTTAAGTCATTTATATATTTTATTGTATGTAAACTCAACCCTAATATGGATTTGTATTTGTGTTCACTTAGACCTCATATATTCATAAATTATTTTATTATAAATTATTTTATTTTAAATATAATTTTATACGTAGAGAGGTCAAGCCATGCTGCAGCTATATTATGTAGCACGAATGGGTATGATCGACCGCGGAGGGATAACGCTCTTACAGAATATCAATGTAAAATAGCAGCTTAATGTTGTTGTGTTTCATATGTTGAGTGTAGAGAACCGGACCCTTTTTATTGGAAACGAGGTATTCCATTTCAGTCCTCAGGGGTGACAACGCTACTGCATTTTGATTCAAAATCAAGGTTAGTTGTAGATGTCTATAGACCACAGCATCTACTTACCATCAGTTAAATTATATGCACGTTTGTAAATTTTATTCTATAAAAAAATGATTTGCAGACGTCCCAGGAAGAACGTCGACTCTTGCTGGCTAAGCAGGAGCAACTCGAAACCGAGCTGAAGGAAAGTAAGACTGCGCTAGAAGAAAAAACCAAAGAAAACGAGGCACTCGTTGAACGAATTCGGTAAGAAATTTAATTTATTATCTTAATTATATGATATCATTTGGTTACAAAAAATAGTGCACATTCATCGTTGATACTTTTATACAATAAGCAACATGTCCCAAAATTCAATGTTAAGCGGTCCAGGGAGTGGACAAATTGATGACAAAATCTCTGTTGTTTTTCTAAGTTATGATAATTTTTTTAAATATTTTAAATTTTGACACGCTATACAATATTTTTAGGTACTATGACTAGAAGTTGGCAAACATTAATGTTACGTTTTTGTATTGACAACCTAAGTAGCTTATCTGTTCATTCCAGTTTCAAATAAAACGAAAATATCTGAAGTTTTAAGAAAGCATTAAGGTAATACTTTTTCCTGCAATGTTAATTTTTTTGAAGTTATACTTCTTTTGGGGCGTTTGGGAAAAATTATGAGAGTGAACGTTTACGATGCGAGCGCACAGCGACAGCTAAAAACGACAACATGAAGTTGTTACGATGCACGCACACAAAGCGACAATTTCATCGGGTAATTATCTTTCAAGTTTTCGTGGGAACTGACTAACTATATTTAAGGTAGTTATTTTTAGTTATTTTTGTTTTATTACGCTAAAGAATATACACACTTTTTTTTACTTTTAATGAATTTTTGTTCCTCACGATATAAAAAATGTATGAACACTACTATAGCAAGTAGTTATAAGAGCTGGCACTACTAATCATGATTCTAAAACGGTATAAAGCGTCTGCCACACACAAGCGGCTTGTAGTGGTAGTAGCGGTCGTATTATCTTGCAACGTGAGTCTGCGACCCCGTGCCCGGCCGGTGCTCCCCCCCCCGCGCCCCCACCGCCCGTGGATTTAACATCTTAATACAATTTTATGGCTTCCCTGTTCTCCAGATATAAGCCCGTTGGATTTTTTTACTGGGGTTGCCTGAAAGACAAAGTATATTCAAAACCAGCCGAATCTTGGCTCAGCCGAATAATGGTGGATGGCCCCATTGCGATGATACTTGCTGTGTTATCCTGGCCGAATACTCTTAAGACGCAGCGATTCTCTGGTCATAGTTGGCAATTTTCTTTCGATTTTTAAATACGGGAGTGTATGCTTGGAATTTCCATAAACCAAGCGTTTATGATTTGTCTCAAAGTATTTCTGTTTCTCGGACTGCAGATCCGGCTTAAAGGACCAATAATATCTAATAACCCATTGCATTGTTATATATACTAGTAGTTTATATTAAGTTTCAGGTTTAAACTAAAATTTGTTTCACAGAAAAAGTCACTCGGGAATGTGTGTTCAAGATGTTTTTAATGTTTGATGTTAACAATTCGCTTGTCAAAACTAAATAATATAAATATAATGAGTGCACGTTTATGTTGTTCGTTTTTAATCTAGCTATTGTGCAGATTTTGGTTTTTATTTTTATAGGATAAGGGTGACAAGCGAGCACACAGTCCATCTGATGGTAAGTGGTTGCTATGGACCATATACATCTACATATATCCTCGTTTGCGAATCAAAATGCAGATGCATTGTCAGCCGTGAGTACTAAGATGGAATGCCTCTTTTCCAGTAAAAAGGGTTTCCGGTTCTCTACACTCATCATACGAATTATAGCATCATTAAGCTGCTATTACGTCCTTGTCCGGTCGAGCCGACCCATTCGTGCTACGACTATACTATTAATATAGCTGTAGCATGGTTTTACCACTTATAGGTTGTTACAGTTTAGACGATTTCTGTTCAAATAGTGAACCATAGAAATAAGTTTTTTTTTAAAATATTTAATACTTCACGTAGTATCTTGTCAATAATGATATCAAGTTGGATTCATGTGATGAACATTTATTTATTCTTTTTTGAATCTTACACATGTAGGGTTCTATCAGACAGGAAGCGGTCACACGTTGAAGCGTTCCGCGTTCGCGTTCTGCGTTCGTTGTGTTGTATTATGTTACATTGACATACCAGCAGGCATTCTGACCGCGTCGGTCAAGCAGAACGCACGCGTTCGCGTGTTTACTGCTGTTTCGGTGTCCACATTGGAAGTAGATACGGGCGCCACGCCGGCGCGCCGTCGCGCGAGTCGCAACTTGCTTTCCCGCTCGCACGGACGCCCCGACCGCACAAGTTCGCCCTGTCGCCTCGCCACGCTCGTCACTCACTCACTCCACTCAAATATTTCACCGAGTGAACGTCTTTTGTTGTGTGGTGTTAACAATGGCAGCAACTTCCACTGTTGCACGTATGGGCCGGCTCAAGCCGGGGTGGTACCACGACCTTACAGAATACCGGTGTAAAGTGGAAGATCTGCTTCTCAAGCTACTCCACTCCTGAGGAGGGACTTACCACTCCTGGGTGCTCAGACTGGTCCACGTATTCCGGGAAAGGGGTGTGGGGTAAAATTCCGCTCAAGACAAAACTGCTCGGGGTAAGCTGAGCAACAAGGCCAAGGCAAAGGAAGGCTAGGGTCGCCTTGTCATGTGTCACGTCACGCCTTGTCACGCCTAACACGTGTCTCGGGCTCGAGTTTGCGTATACATCAGAGAGGACATCTGTTCTCGACGCTTTGGTAATCTTGAAGGACCTGTCCATCCCTTGGCTACGCGTAAACAGCGACGACGATCTTCTGGTCTACCTGACTCATAGATAGGCGGAGGCATAAGAGTCCAAAGGGAGGCATTAGCCGTTAGTTTGGATATTGACCTTTCGATCGGATTTGATACAAAGCGCTTCTTTCAAAACTCCCTTTCTATGGGCTTCCCGAGAAATTTTGCAACTGAATCATCAGCTTTCTTGCAGATCAAATCATTCCCTCAGTTTCAAGGCACTCCTCTTGTTGCCTCAGCCAGTATCGGAATCCTCGGCGTCGACATATCGAGTGACGTGCAAGTTTCGTGATCACTTGGAAGAGAAGGCCAAATTAGCCTCTAAAAGGCTTTGCGGGCTCAGCAGAGACGAACAGTATTTCATGTCGACACACCGCCTGCAACTTTACAAGGCGCAGGTTCGGCCTCACATGGAATACTGTTCCCATCACTGGGCTGAGGCTCCCCAGGGCTTTATTAAAAAATATAAAGCTGTTTTGATTTGTTGGTACAAATAATATGGTTTCCTTTAAGTTTTTTTGAAGAAATCTCTTCCTGATAAAACAATATCTAAGGCCTATGGCCAGCAACGCCGCGCCTCCGCGACGCCACCGCCGTGGAATTGACCTTCGGCGCTCATATCTTATTGGAAGGAAGATGGAGATCGAGAAGTTAATTATGTCAGTACGAGAAAGGTGTTTTTTATATGATGTGAAGAATGATAATTATAAAAGCCGAGGAAACGTAGCAGTAGCATGGTAAGAAACTGCCAGAGAAATGGGGATCGAAAATGAATTATAAAAAATTTCTTCATCAGTAAGCCATTTATAAAACAGTCTATGAAATTCTCCATCTTGTTCTCTTTTCTTATGTACTGGGCGCACCCAATGTTTCCATTTCCGTTTTGATGCTGCTAATGTCATTATTAACTATTCGTCTTTCTATAAAAAACTATATCCAAAAACATGGTGACTGTCGTGGCACCGCGTAGACCATCCAACAGCGGGATTCGTGAGAACGCGAACGCAGAACGCTTGAATGCGTGATCGCTTCCTGTCTGATTGAACCCTTATATGAATAAAAGACTTAATGCTCAAAGCACATTTATGAGAGTCTAGCTATATAATTATGTGCAGGTGCTCGTGTTGATTTTCATTCCCACATTGCGGTAGAAGTTCAAACCAAAGTTCGTACCGCCTTCTAAGGGGCCTTTGATTCACATCGAGCCCCCCTCCCCCCTAGCTAGAGGAGCCTCACTCCGAAAGCAGGGGCCGGGGTGCCTCCGAACTGCAGTCGGCGACGCGGCGATTCGTGCCGATAGAATCGTTGCTCTCAATAGCTCGTAGGTACTTGCATATGAGTCTATTTCGATAAAGCTCGGTTTACGTGATAGAGCCATACTACAGCTGTATTAGTAGTATAGTTGTAGCACGAATGAATCGGCTTGACCGGGAAAGGACCACGCTTTCATAGAATAACAACGTAAAATAGCAGCTTAACACTGCTGTCTTTTGTATGGTGAGTGTAGAGAACCGGAGACCGTTTTTACTGGAAAAGAGGCATTCCATCTTAATCCACACGGGTGACATCGCATCTGCATTTTGATTCGCAAACGAGGATAGATGTAGATGTCTATGGGCCACAGCAACTACTTACCATGAGGTGTACTGTGTGCTCGTTTGTCATCCTGTCCTATAACAAAAGCTGTAAAGGTCAAAGTGGCAACAGCATACACTTTCGAAAATAAAAGCAACTTTTCACGTATTCTTTAGTGCATTGGTATAAGCATATATTTAGTGCGTATCTGTACGTGATTTTGTGTTTACCTGTGCAAATGCGTGTGCATATGAAGGTGCGCGTGTTGGAGTACAATGTATGAGTGCGTGTGACAGTACAGTACATAGCAATACAGTGTACAAACTGAAGTGGCAGAAATGTGTGTTGCAGTACATTACATTGCAGTTCATGGTACGGGGTTGAGTGCATTACATTGTAGGAGTGCGTGTGGTGGTACAGTGTAGGAGTGCTTGTGGCTGTACTGTGTAGGAGTGCGTGTGGCAGCCCAGTATAGGAGTGTTGTGGCTGTACTGTGTAGGAGTACGTGTGGAAGTATAGTATAGGAGTGTTTGTCGCTGTACTGTGTAGGAGTGCGTGTGGCAGTACAGTGTAGGATTGCTTGTGGCTGTACTGTGTAGGAGTGCGTGTGACATCCCAGTATAGAAATGTTGTGGCTGTACTGTGTAGGAGTGCATGTGGAAGTATAGTATAGGAGTGTTGTGGATGTACTGTGTAAGAGTGCGTGTGGAAGTATAGTATAGGAGTGTTTGTCGCTGTCCTGTGTAGTAGTGCGTGTGGCAGTAAAGTGTAGGAGTGCGTGTGGCAGTACAGTGTAGGAGTGCTTGTAGCTGTACTGTGTAGGAGTGCGTTTGGCAGCCCAGTATAGGAGTGTTGTGGCTGTACTGTGTAGGAGTGCGTGTGGAAGTATAGTATAGGAGTGTTTGTCGCTGTACTGTGTAGGAGTGCGTGTGGCAGTATAGCGTAGGAGTGCGTGTGGCAGTACAGTGTAGGATTGCTTGTGGCTGTACTGTGTAGGAGTGCGTGTGGCAGCCCAGTATAGAAATGTTGTGGCTGTACTGTGTAGGAGTGCGTGTGGAAGTATAGTATAGGAGTGTTGTGAATGTACTGTGTAAGAGTGCGTGTGGAAGTATAGTATAGGAGTGTTTGTCGCTGTACTGTGTAGGAGTGCGTGTGGCAGTAAAGTGTAGGAGTGCGTGTGGCAGTACAGTGTAGGAGTGCTTGTGGCTGTACTGTGTAGGAGTGCGTGTGGCAGCTCAGTATAGGAGTGTTGTGGCTGTACTGTGTAGGAGTGCGTGTGGAAGTATAGTATAGGAGTGTTTGTCGCTGTACTGTGTAGGAGTGCGTGTGGCAGTAAAGTGTAGGAGTGCGTGTGGCAGTACAGTGTAGGAGTGCTTGTGGCTGTACTGTGTAGGAGTGCGTGTGGCAGCTCAGTATAGGAGTGTTGTGGCTGTACTGTGTAGGAGTGCGTGTGGAAGTATAGTATAGGAGTGTTTGTCGCTGTACTGTGTAGGAGTGCGTGTGGCAGTATAGTGTAGGAGTGCGTGTGGCAGTACAGTATAGGCGTGCTTGTGGCTGTACTATGTAGGAGTGCGTGTGGCAGCCCAGTATAGGAGTGTTGTGGCTGTACTATGTAGGAGTGCGTGTGGCAGTACAGTGTAGGAGTGCTTGTGGCTGTACTGTGTAGGAGTGCGATTGGAAGTATAGTATAGGAGTGTTTGTCACTGTACTATGTAGTAGTGCGTGTGGTAGTACTGTGTAAGCGTGTGGTAGTACAGGGTAGGATTGCTTGTGGCTGTACTGTGTAGGAGTGCGTGTGGCAGTATAGTGTATGAGTGCGTGTGGCAGTACAGTGTAGGAGTGCTATGGCTGTACTGTGTAGCAGTGCGTGTGGCAGCTCAGTATAGGAGTGTTGTGGCTGTACTGTGTAAGAGTGCGTGTGGAAGTATAGTATAGGAGTGTTTGTCGCTGTACTGTGTAGGAGTGCGTGTGGCAGTATAGTGTAGGAGTGCGTGTGGCAGTACAGTCTAGGAGTGCTTGTGGCTATACTGTGTAGGAGTGCGTGTGGCAGCCCAGTATAGGAGTGTTGTGGCTGTACTGTGTAGGAGTGCATGTGGAAGCATAGTATAGCAGTGTTTGTCGCTGTACTGTGTAGGAGTGCGTGTGGCAGTATAGTGTTGGAGTGCGTGTGGCAGTACAGTGTAGGAGTGCTTGTGGCTGTACTGTGTAGGAGTGGCTGTGGCAGCCCAGTATAGGAGTGTTGTGGCTGTACTGAGTAGGAGTGCGTGTGGTTGTACTGTATAGGAGTACGTGTGGCAGGCCAGTATAGTAGTGCTTGTGGCTGTACTGTGTAGGAGTGCGTGTGGCAGCCCAGTATAGGAGTGTTGTGGCTGTACTGAGTAGGAGTGCGTGTGGCAGTACTGTGTAGGCGTGTGGTAGTACATTGTAGGAGTTCTTGTGGCAGGGGGTTGGAAGGTGCGGTGCAGCACTGGGAGCAGGAGGCAGGCGCGGCGCGCGAGCTGGCCGCCGCGCGCCAACACCAGCTCACCACGCTGGGAGACCTACTCGATGCTGCAAAGGCCAAGGTACGTGAATTACAGAGAAGCGTTATGAAACAATATTGCAAAACCACTTATAACTACCCACATAACTATCGAATAATAGCAGACTATCAACTGCACAGAATATCTTGTCGGTTTTTGGTAGGGACAAGAGCTGAATTATCTCAAGGGTTAAGCGTTCACCATAAATTTTATAGTGTGGGAGCATCTTGGTTTTCAATTTACACCTGCAGCAATGATGTTGTTATTCAGAATTGAATAACAATATCATTTGAATTGAATTTGAAAACAGAAATTGTACGTGAAGGAAAAAAGTAAGAAAACTTATCGGTGAGCAAAAAAAATTCAAAACCATGTAAGTTAGTCAATACAAACTGTAAAAGCGCGACGGACTATTTTGTTCTATTTTATCTAGAGTACAGGTACAGGAGGTCTAGCATAACTTTGTACTATTTTATATGTATTGTTAAATTGTGTATAGGCTACCATTTTGTATGGCGTATGCTTCAAGACATTATGTAAATTTGTGCAAAAGTATTATTGGTTAGTTTTTCGGGCCCGGATGGAGTGGAACAAAAAAAAGAGAATATATTTTATTTCTTTGAAACGAGAAAATAAAATTTAATTTTTTAAATGTATTTCTTTAAATCTACTAAATCTATCAAGTATTGATGTTTTGTGATTGTCTTGGTACGACTTGTTCTTTTATTATTGTTATTTCTGTGGTTAATAAAAGTGGTTTCAATGTTGCCTTGTGTCATAATCTATAGGTCATATATTATTTTTGTCCAAATATTCTTAATACTTTATTAAAAATTAAATAAATATTGCACTTGTTCCGATTGAGCCCTCGCTCCTGAACTAGGAATCCTGTATGTCAGCAGCTAGTCCCTTCCATACACTATGCACAAACAATACGAGTATTAACATTAATTATAACTTTCAATTCAGTTTAATTATAACCTACATGCATAAATGAATATAAATAGAACGTTGCTTGTTATAAAACTAAAATAACATAAACTTACAGTTCACCAGATGGTAAGTGGGTACTACGGTCCATGAATATTTACAATCAATTCGAAACAAAAGTATTAGATAGAAATGGAGTCAAAGCTTAATAACATGGTTAAATTAACAACAAACAAAAATTCGTGTAGTGGCGCTGTAAGAATATCCACTACCCCATATCGTACCGTGGATGTCGTAAGAGGTGACAGAGAGGAACTGAAACAGAAGATAGACAGCAGCATCTTCCTGATACCAACTAAAAATAATAAAAAACTGCGGTCGCCAATCCACTTGTCAAGCGTGGCAACTATGGCAAACTGTGATAAAATCCGTCCAATGAGGCCATCCTTGAGGAGGCCTTTGTTCAGCATTGGACTTATGATGATAGGCTGTAATGAAAGGTAATAGATAAAATTTTACGATGTGAGAGGCACGTGCCTGCTATGCGTGGCAACTGGTAAATTCCTCTCTATGAGGCAATCTATCTTATGTTCAACAATGGACTTTTATAGGCTGTACAGATGAGTTGAAACAAAGAAAATTTAATATTAGACGAGAGAGCGAGAAAGAGTAAAATGTGAGTAGATAAGATGTAGGCCCCCAAGTCGGCCCCCAGTACCCGGCGGCACCGCTATTCCTGTCTACGGTGGCGACAATGATAACGGTGGGGCAGGGGGGTGCTAAGAATCTCCGGTGGAGGTTCGGTTGCCACCTACGACTACTCGACCTGGCAACTTATAATGTGCGTGCATTATAAGTTGCCAGGTCGAGTAGCAGTCCTGAAGACTGACGAGAACATCCTGGAGCTGGAAGAAGATAAGAGACAAGTTCCGCAGGAATATTATAGCATTATCCGAAGTCATTCCTCCAAAACCCACTATACGGTGTAAATGGGAGACTTCAACGCAAAACTAGGCGCAAGAGAGAACGGTGAGCTGAAAATAGGGAAATTCGGAATAGGGCAACGGAACCCAAGGGGCCAGCAGCTGGCCGACTTCATGAAGAAAGAGGGACTCTTTATGATGAACTCTTTCTTCCAGAAGTGGCCCCACAGGACGTGGACCTGATCGAGCCCCGACGATTTGACAAAAAATGAGATTGACTTCATTATGACGACCAGACGACAACTGTTCAGTGATGTCTCAGTAATCGCGAGGATGAAAACTGGTAGCGATCACCAAATGGTTAGAGGCACACTGAACCTAAACGTTAAATTGGAGATATGTCGTCTAATGAAGTCAACGCTCCGTCCCCCTCGTGCTCTAGTCCAAAGTCCTGAAACCTTTCAGCTCGAGTTACAAAATCGTTTTCAGTGCCTAGAAGATTGCAATGCAGTGGACGATATAAATAACAAGCTCGTGGAAACTGTCCATGTGGTCGAAGTTAAGTTTTGCAAGACCCGCCGCAGAAGAACACATATATTCTCCGATAACACTCTTAACCTCATGGCTGTTAGACGGGAAATGAAGTTGCAGTCTTCAGTAGATTTGATAGCATACAGGCAACTGAACAGACAGATCTCCAAATGCATGCGGCGGCTTACGCAACTTTAATACTGCTCGTATTGAAGAAGCGATCGAGCGGAACCAGGGCTCCAAAGTATTTGCCAGAGATCTGTCTGCCAGAAAGTGTCAACTGTCGAAGCTGAAGAGCAATTGTGGCAACATCGTTTCCGCTACATCTGAGATTTTGAGTGAGATTGAGAGGTTCTATAGGCAGCTGTATACGTCGGATACACACGCAAGTGTAAGTAACGATCCAAAAGCAAGTCTTATCCGACACTATTCCGATGACATCCCGGACGTCTATCTGAGCGAGATTAGAATGGCTCTCCAGCACCTTAAAAACGGCAAGTCCCCGACGAGGATGGAACTACGGCGGAGCTTCTGAAAACGGGTGGAAAACCGGTACTTAAAGTCCTTCAGAAGCTCTTTAATTCCGTCCTTCATGGGAGCACTACTCCGGAGGCGTGAAGCAGAAGTGTGGTTGACTTGTTCTTCAAGAAAGGCCAACGCTCTCTTGAAGAACTACAGACCGATCTCCCTTCTGAGCCGCGTCTATGTGCTGTTTTCGAGAGCCATTACGAATCGTCTCGCATGCAGACTTGACGACTTCCAGCCTCCCGAACAAGCCGGTTTCCGAAAAGGCTTTAGTACCATAAACCACATACATACCCTTCGGCAAATTGTACAGAAGACCGAAGAGTACAATCTGCCACTTTGTCTTGCATATGTAGACTATGAGAAAGCCTTTGATTCCTTCGAAATTTGGGCGATTCTGCAGTCTCTCCAGCAGTGCGAAGTGGACTGTCGGTATATCGAAATGCTGAAGTGCTGTACAATAGGGCTACGATGGCTATCCGAGTACAGAACCAGAGTACGAAACCTATCCAACTGCAGAGAGGTGTAAGCCAGGGTGACGTAATATTCTGGAAACTTCACCGCTGCATTGGAAGACGTTTTCAAGCTACTGGACTGGAAAAGATACGGTATTAACGTCAATGGCGAGTACATCACTCACCTTCGATTTGCCGACGATATAGTCCTTATGGCAGAATCGCTGGAGGATCTAAGCACTATGCTCGATGACATCAATAGTGTCTCCCCACGGATAGTCATGTCTTAAGATGAACATGGACAAAACAAAAATCATGTTTAACGTCCATGTCACCTATGCCGGTAGTTTTGGGAGCACTAGGCTCGAAGTTGTTGACGAATATGTTTACCTGGAACAAATAGACCGACTAGGTAAGTCCAACTTCGACCGAGAGGTCAATCGACGGATTATACTCGGCTGGGCAGCGTTCGGGAGATTACGACACATCTTCCGTTAGACATACTTCAAAACCTCAAAACTATATTGTTCAACCAGTGCGTGTTGCCAGTGATGACCTATGGATCTAAGACATTGTCCTTCACTGCTGACCGTATGAGGAAGCTCAAGGTTGCTCAGCGAGCTATGGAGAGGGCTATGCTCAGGGTTCTCTGCATGATAGACTTAAAAACGAGGCTATCCGCAGTAGAACCAGAGTAACCGATATAGCCCAAAGAATTAGTATGCTGAAGTGACAATGGGCAGGCCGCCATATAGCTCGTAGAACCGACAACCGATGGGAAAGAAAGTTTCTTGAGTGGCAACCTCGTACCGGCAGGCGAAGTGTAGGGCGTCCCCCCGTTAGATCGAGTGACGACTTGGTAAGATATGCAGAAAATAGATGTAGGTGACTCGGGATTGTGCTTTGTGGCATTCCTTGGGGAGGCCTATGTTCCTATGATGATGAAGATGTAGAGAGCGAGAAAGAATGAAGTGTAAGCAGACAAGATGTTGAGTGAGAAAGAGTAAAGTTTGAACAGATAATATGTAAAGGGTGAGAAAGAGTGAAGTCTGAGCAGACAATATGTAGAGGGTGAGAAAGAGTAAAGTGTAAGCAGACAAAATATAGCAGAGCGAGAAGGATTAAAGTGTGAATAGACAAGATGTAGAGAGCGAGAAAGAGCTAAGTGTGAGCAGACGAGAAAGAGCGGAAGAGATATAGTAGTTCAGTGTGTTTCGTGTGGTGAATCTAGAGTACCCGTTTTGCTGGAAACGTGGTATTCCATCTTAGTCCTCACGGGCGGAACGCATTTGCATTTATTTATCATCAGGTGGACTGTGTGCTCGTTTGTCGCCCTAATTCTTTAAAAAAATGAATTGTAACAACGAAAATTCAATGCTTGTCGAGAGAGCGAGAAAGAGTAAAGTATGAGCAGACAAGATGTAGTGCTAGTGGGAGCGGCGGCGGCGTTACTAGATATGGCAAATTATTCCCTATGAGGCAGTCTATGTAGGAGTCCTATGTTCAGCAATAGACTTTTATAGGCTGTAACGGATAAACTGAAACAAATTTTTCATAAGAGAGTGAGAGAGCGAGAAAGAATAACGTGTGAGCGGACAAGATGTAGAGTGTGTGGTGTGTAGCTGGCGGGTGCGGCGGAGGGCGAGGCGGCGGCGGCGGCGGCGGCGCGGCGCGAGGCGGACGCGGCGGCGGCGCGCGCGCACGCGCTGGCCGAGCGCCTCGCGCACGCGCAGCGCCAGCTCGACCGCGCGCACGACGACGCGCGCCGCCTGCACGACGACGCGCTGGTGAGTACTGCTGCACCCGGTACGTACTGCTGCACCCGGTACGTACACCGCGCTGGCCGAGCGCCTCGCGCACGCGCAGCGCCAGCTCGACCGCGCGCACGACGACGCGCGCCGCCTGCACGACG